GTTTCCCCCCCCCCCCCCCCTAACAACCCCTGGTTCCAAGGCCCAAGAGGGCCCAGGACAGGTAGGGGAGAAGAAAGGCAGGGCCGCCCCCTTCCGTTCCATGCTAAAACCAGGACGACATTCTCCAATTTCTAACCTTGGCCCTACCGCGGCACCCGTGAAACGACCGAGGGCATACTGCGAACCCTGACCTCGGATGACCCCACCCCGTCCCCTTTTCCACGCAACAAGATCACCGTCTTTGAAGAGCCGCGACTCCGCGAACAAGATTTCGGAAACTTCCAGCCATGCAGTGCCGAGATGGAGCGTATGTGGCAGGAGCGAGCCGATTATGGCCATTTCTTCTACAGGATCCCTGACGGCGAGAGCGCGGCGGACGCCTATGATCGAGTCAGTGGATTCAACGAGAGTCTATGGAGGAGCTTTGGCGACGACAACTTTCCGAGCGTGTGTGTGCTGGTTACCCACGGCCTCATGTCGCGCGTCTTCCTCATGAAATGGTACGTTCAGAATATACCTGCATGCATGCCACGATCACAGTCACTAATGCGATAAAAAAAAGGTACCACTGGTCTGTCGAGTACTTTGAAGACCTCCGCAACGTCAATCACTGCGAGTTCATCGTCATGAAACGCAGCGAGAACAACGGGCGATATATCCTCGAGAACGAATTGAGGACATGGTCTGAACTCAAGCGACGAGCAGCAAAGGATAGAGCGACAGCTACACCCACATCAAATCGGCCTACTCCCCTCAGCGCCACTGCAGCCTCACCCACCATACCCACCCGACGCTGGGGCGGGTGCGTGAATGGTTGTGACCACGACAAAATAAACTACCCCCGTCGCCCGATGCGGAAAAATACTATGGAATACCAAGCCACCTCCCAACTCCCTCCACCCGCTACGCCCCTTGAGACCCTGGAAAGCGACAAGGAAGACATCCCCGCTGCCACTGCCACTGCCACTGCCACCACCACCCCGCAAGACTCCACCGAAACCCCCATCATATCCGAACCCACCCCCGGCAAGCTCTCCCGCAAACATAGCGCCAAAGCAATCGAGCCCGCCCTTGCGTCCCCCTAATGATGCCTCAAACGATGCCTCGAGCTCCGACGACGGCGCCGAAGCTGCATCCGCAATCATCTGGTCCCACCAGCATCCGCAACCCCGCACAGCAGCCATCCTGCGCCATCTCCAGCCCTTGAAGTCGCCGGCCGAGGGCTTCTCAGACGACAGTGATTATTTCCCGGGCATGCAGCATATTAGCGGGCACCGCAAGGTGCTGCGCGCGAGTAGCAAGCAGAGACAGCAGAGTAAGGAGAGAAAGTTGGCCCGGAAGCAGACGGAGAAGGAGTGGAAGGAGGAGAGTGGAATGGGAAGAGGGGAACGTACGGATAGGTTGGGCGATGGGGAGGGGACTTGCGATGAAGCTGGGACAAGTGGTGGTGGGGACAAGCACGACGAGGGACGCGGTCAAGGCGATATCCTACCCGAGGCCAGAAAGGGTGATATGCAGGTCAAGCATGGAGAGAAGGATGAAGTAGGATCTAGGGCAGATGAGGGTACGCAGCGAAGTGCGGATCAGCTCGAAGGCATGCAGGATAAGGAACGCAAAGGATTTGGAGAGGTTTATTGAAATGGTCATGTACATGTGGTAACTGTCGAGATACCTAGCAAAGTACAGCGAATGAGAGATTTCCACGTCTGCCAACGTTTCTTGGCCAGGTCGGTATGTTCAATGTAAGAAGAAGAAGAAGAAGAAGAAAAGCATAGTACCACCAACCCCGCATCATGCCTGTCCTCTCATAAACCGAACTCGCAAATCCCATGTTCCCATAACTTCACATGTCTCCTCAACACACCACCCAATTAATTCAACCCACCCCCCCCCCCCCCACTTCTACCAAAACCAAACCCTGCCATGATCATGATACCTATATCTTCCACATACCATAACGCTACCGCATCATAATACCACGATTACCCGGTCTTTGACATATCCTATGCTTGTCGTTCTCATATTTTCATCTTCGCTCGGAGGAAACGCCAGACGGAAACAAGATTTCAACCAAGTGTTTTGTATCATGGGGAAACGGATACCATTCTTGACACATAGGTATAGATGTAGTTTCATGGACAGGCTGTTTGTGGGTCTGATGTTTGTGTTGTTCGTGTATTATGACGTTCATGGCGATGATCTGGCGGGAGGGTGGAAGGATGGGGCTTGAGAAAGTAGTGGCTACATTTGCAAGTAGCGAAAAAGATTCCGCCATGTGGTGAACTGCACGGTGTCTTGTAGAAAAGAGCAAGCACATTCACCAACCCACGCTCTTTTCCCCCACTTTACCAGATGACTTGACTCTCTTCCTCTTCGTAGATGAATCCCCCGACGCCTCCACCTCTCCCAACATGTTCTGATCAATACGTTCATCCTCATCCTCAACCTTCCTCTTCTTGCCGCGAACAGCGTCGACCCCCGTGTAATCGCTGCGGACGTACGAAGCATCCCTTGGATCAATCTTCCTGAACCCAACTTTGTACAATTCCTTCAAGCGTCTTCTTTCCCGCTCTCCCACTTCTTTCTCGTTGATGTCTGTTTCTTCCCTCATATTCCTGCACCGTGCAATCTGCTCCGGGTTGTCATGTGCGTGGTCGTGGACGTCACACCAGGAGCTGATGACGCCGGTGTCGTTGCCGTAGACATAAGGATCCCTGTAGTATGCGACCTCGTATAAGAGTTTTGCCTTAGTTTCCACGTCGAACTCCTTGTACTCCTCGTCGAATTCGGTGTACGGGCCTTCTACTCGGGTTGGCCAGAGGAAGCAGTAGACGATTGCGATCCACTGGCAAAAGGGCGCGTGCTGTGGTAGGAACTTGAATGCCCGTAATGCTAGCTGCACGGGTGGCATGCTGCTGTTCTCAGGACACATGGTGTTTTGGAATCGGAGTAGTACGGTGTAGGCAAAATCGTGTTCTTCTCGCCTAAAGGTCAGAATGTACAGGTTGAGAAGCGCATAGTAGAAGTCTTCGGCGGTACCGATTCTCTTCCTGTACAGTCTGTACGAAGCGATGGTTGCTCGCTTTCGCAGTCCGCTGTACATGAGCGAGACCACCTGACGCATCTGGCCGCTGAGGTCTAGCCCAAGCTCGTCGGCATAGTCTAAGATGGAAGAACTACTTGATCCGCTTGTAGGTGTTTGCGTCTGCAGACGTGATTGTATGCCATCGTCCAAGTCTGGATTTATTACTGAATCCTGAGAATCTCGCCTACTCTTCTTTGGGATTTCAAGTACTGGTGGCTTGTTGGTGGTGGTGAGGCGGTCAGAAACTGCCATTTTCTTTGATGTCTGCTGGAAACGAGGGTTGGGTTCAAGCTCTGGTTCAGCGGTGAACTCGGGCTGGAGCGGCATGAGGCTCACCCCTGGAAACTGGCGTTGCAATTCCAACTTGTCTTCCAAGCTCATTTTTGCAGCGTCGACCGTAAGCGTTACCTGCTTTACGAAGGACGAGAGAAACTTGTCCCGGAAGGAGTTCCATGATGAAGGCTGTTGTGTGTCAATGTTGTGAGGAGAGGTCTCTGTCTGAGTGCTTGATATTGTGGCCTCATTGAACGGGGCAGTCTGTGCCTGCGTGTCCCTCTTCTGGACAAAATCAGTCCGGCTAGCCTGGGTCTGTGCATCCTTTTTCTGCATGGCGATTGACTGCATTCCTCGTTCATGGGCGTCCGGCATCTTGATATCATCCGTTTGTACTGCATGATCTTGATGAATTCTGCGTATGTTCTCATTGTCGACAGCCTGTGTTCCTTGTACCCGAGGCCCTGGTATTCTGATCTTCTCCGTCTGCACGGCTTGATCTTGACAGAGTCTGGCAGGATCCTTTGAACCAGAATTGCAACCGTGGACTTGGATCCTTTCAATATGATCACAGGTTTCTATGATGTCTTTTCTAAGTCGCTTGAGGCCGGCGCTTACTGAACGGAATGAGGCATGGACGATGTCATTCGCAGCAATCTCCCAGTGTTCAAGATCTTTGCGTCCAGTGTAGTCAGTGCCATCAGATACAGAAAGTATCAGAGTCTTGTCGCTAGCAACTATCAGCCATGTGCTTAAAGTGGGCGATTTCTGTCGGCCGGCTTACAACTTGGAGTCATCCTTTAGTTTCGCTTTTGTCTCCTCAAACTTCGTTTCTTGGTTGCGCATGTATCTCAGAATCTGACACTCATCTTTGTTCACTACCAGCTGACTGGTCTCTTCGTATCGTTCCATTGGCCAGTCTGCAAGGAGACGATGAGGCGAGAGTTTGTTGGCGCAAGATGGCAACCAGAAAACGAGGGGAGCTAGCCTATCCGCCTTGCTGTTCCCCGCTAACCAGATCTGGAAATAAGACCCGCAATAAGTTGTGTTCCACTGACTCCTGCGCGCGCCGGGCCTTAGGCGCCCCCTCCCGTCAGCATCTTAATTGAGCGTGTTGCTGTGGCCCAAGGCCAAATATACTGTATTACTACCGAAGATGGCAATAGAAATCCAATGTTATTCCTTGCTTTCTTATCAACTGGATGACTCGGAAAGGGCAAGATTTTCCTTGGTATGCGATGGAATATGAATGATCCCCCTATACCGGTACTGCCACGCATCATCTTTCTTCTCTTTGGCCGTCAAGCATAGCCTTGGTATGTGTCTAGTCCACGGGTAAGATTCACATCAACATTCTTGGTCAGATTGCCAATTCTCAGGACGAGGAGTGGAGGTGTACCTAGGGTGCAAAATACGATATGTTTTACCATCCCTGGTACGGTAAAAGCAAGCACTACTGATGACAAGTCACAACTTGGTCTTACGTCTATTCATAGCCACCACGCCCATTCATATACAAGGCAACAAGGACACGGCACCCTTCTCACACAATTCATAATCAGGAATGAACGTAACCCATCGAATATGTACATCTTCATCAAAGGCAAGTATTTACAAAAAGCACCTCCATCTCCCTCTCCAAGTGTCACGGCCCAAGCAACACTTGGTATATAACCTTCCCTGAACCCAAGAGATCCAAGGAGTTCGTAACTTTAGCCCAGATGTGAGCCAGCTTAACCGGGGCAGACACCGTTCTTCTTGGGCTCGCAGCCGCCAGCACAGCCAGTGTACATCTGGCACTTGGTCTTCGCATCGGAGCACACGTTCTTGAGAGTAGCGGTGTCGCCGTAGTTGCTGTTGATACCGGCGAGCTCACCACCGTTCTTCGCGGTGACACCCTCGATAAAGACGTTACGCTTGCATTGCTTGGAGCACTATTACACAGGTCAGTCATTGACTGGCACCATACTTTTGGGCATTCAAACTTACGTTTCCGCAAGAGCGGTACAGCTTGCCGTAGTCCTCGACGTAGAAGTTGATGATGTTGACGGTACCGCAACCGTTGTGTTGGATGACCTTGTCAGAGGCGTGGTAGGCACCACCACCGATGACCCAGGATTCCTTGCCCGCTGCATCTTCCTTGATGCTGAGAGCGTCCTCGCAGACGTCCTCCCACCAGACAAACTAGAAGCATTGTCAGTCCTGTTATTCTACTATCACAACCATCGTTTCTCTCACCTCAAGGGTGCAGTGTCCCTTGCAGTGGACACCCTCAGCCTGGTTCTTTCCGATGATCACGTTGCGAAGAGTGGCTCCGGCATGGAGCAGGAAGACAGCATCAGCAGAGCCTATATCACATGTCAGTTACGGATTATGAGGGGAAAAGAACTCGACAAATGACTTACCGCCTTCAGCCTGGTTGGAGCAAGCACCACTACCGCGGTCATAGCGGTACCATTGACCGTCAAAGGTCTCGCCAGCCTTGACTTCAATGACCTTGCTGTTGGTCTTTGTGCCAACAGCCTTGGGAACACCACCCTCATGTCCAAGGCACGCAAGTGCGGTGGGAAGGAAAGCCGAAACGGCAGCGACGAATGCAGCGACCTTCATGATTCCGGAGGTTCTCGAGTGAGTGGTACTTGTTGTTGTGAAGAAGATGTCAGTGAAGTGAGTGTATGGCTTGGTGAAGAAAGATCCTTCATTCCACGACGAAGCCTTTGCTACTTATACACACAGCTCACAGATACATGATATACCTCCTTTCACCCATCGGGCTATCGCCATGCTCGTTGTCAACTTCCTTGCATACAACCTAATCTCCACTCCGTCCACTGGACCAGGAACCACATCCTTCGCCTAACCTCATCCTATTCGTACAAACCCCACCACAATCTGGATTTTCTTGGCCTCCAGCGCTTCCGCCCAGCCATGGGACCTCGCCAAGCATCTACCGTGATGCTTGGCCACGGAACAATATGTCTCGAGGCACATGAGAATTCTTGGGTGATACCCCAGAAAAAATGCCGAAAGTCCCGGCTTTTGATTCAACGTCGTGGTACAGTAGTACATCCGCAAGTCTGCATGCGCCACTTGGTTCATGACAAGGTTCTTTTGTTAACTCGTTACCGTGGGAGAAGCTGTCTTCGACTGTACGAGATTTTGAATGCCACTCATGGAGAGCGCGTTTGGAGATCTCCGTCAGCATCCCCAACGCGGATGTGTAACTCCGAGCAAGATCAGCGTGGTTGGCCTGACCATCGGTATGGTGTGCATGTAGGTACCGTACCAGACGTCCCAAAAGCCGACCCTAAAACCAAAGTCGCGTGTGACGATAGTAACCCTGCGCCGATCATCCTATGATTCAAGTATCCCAGCCGAGACCATCTCATTGGCCCCATGAATCCCATCATTTCTATCATGAAACATCTTGGCCTGTCAATAAATCGCGGCTTGCGCCCATTGGGACACGCCGTAGGGGAAGGTGTCAAAACTTAGCGCTTCCGCACCTTTCTCCCCTCACAAACCCTTATTTCCAATGTAGTTATTCCGCCATTGAGTATTTCACCGCCCGTCTACCGGACTGGTTCAGTTTGAATCCGGGGTACGGCAAAAATTTCATTCGTAGAGAAGAGCATACCGGTATGCGGCTGGGCTGCGGGAACGATGCGTGCAATCGCGATCGGTGTATGGGCGATGGGTGAATTACTGTGCTGTCTCAGGCTCGTATGCCACTGTGCCGTCTCAGGCTCGTATGCCACTGTGCCGCGAGAACGCAGCCTTCAGATTTGGGGATACGGAGAGCATCACTGGGCATGCACTGCGAAGGCCGTAGAGAGCGAGGCGATATTAGAGGGTCTCGACGGGTGGTCCTAGTCAAACCCCCCTTGCCCTCCTCCACCCTGAACGTGGTTACTACTGTGGATCTGGTAGTGGGCTAACAGAACAGTGGACTATTGCCAGCAGAACGAGCCAGATGTTGAGAGCGTTAGATGCCAGAACTTGCATACTGGGCAACGCTGCTCGAACCATCTCAGCTCGTGACATCAGGAGATTCAGAATACACTCCACTTCATGAGTCGGGACTTGACTTTCAATAGACGGCACTGTAAAAACTCTCTGGTGCAACCGGCCGGACGCCGTGCCTTTTCCACATAGAATTCTCCGTAGACCGTTCCCCTCATCGGAGAAACGTCAAATCAATTCTCCTCATACCCTCATGGCTAACCATCGAATCAGCCCACATCACACAGCAAACCCCCTCCCTCTTTTCCACCATTGAAAGTGAAATCCCATTTGCCATCCCAACCCGGAACCACCACAACTACCAGTACAGTCATCCTCGCCCCATGACCCCCTCCCCCACTGGTGGACTTGCAAAACACCCACACCTATCCTCAGCGGCAAAACACACAACATGCATCCTGCACCATGCACGGCACTGCATCAAAAACCGTACTCATGCACGCCCCAGAAATCCGGGGAAATGTCCGATGGAGGAAGGTCTCGTGGCATGAATGCTTCGCTACGGGACATGCCGCAGTCGGCCAATACCAAACATGTTTGCATCTAGAGTACCTCTGTTATCTTGGGAGACTTGGAAGAGAGAAAAATCACCTACCTCAAGTGTATTCAATGCCGGAATAGGCGATAGTTTGGGAAAAGTCCACCAATAGTGGTGTGCTATTCGATGGAATACTGGTACCATGGTGGGGGTGGTGCGTGATCGGTGTATGCGGAGACGCTCCAAGTCACGTTTCCTTGTAGCCTTCCTAGGTCGTGGTGGCCTCCGGCTTGGCTTGAAGACTCATCGCAAACTTTGTTGTGATTTTTCTGTCTCTTCGTGTGCTGGGTGTGTTAACTAGAGGAAGCGCTTATGTCGGTACTTTATTGCTCGAGCACTTGTTCTCGTATTCTCAAAGGAGAAGGCAGATGCAAAATTTGTGGGGAAGAATCGAGATTGCGTGATGGGTAACTTGGACGACGGGAGATTGCGCATGTCTAAGATAAGGGCTATGTGGTACTGACGTTAGGTAGTGAAGATCTCACACGTGGCAGATTCGTTGGCCACGTTGTGGCTAGTTTGGTGAACATGTTTAGTTAGGATAGTTTCGAGATGGTCAAGTTATGAATATTGTTTCATACTTCAAGACTACTACCGGTTCGTTTTGCTCGAACTGGGGTGACTCACGCTCAGTCTTGTATCCTCTTTTTTTCTTTGTACTTGCAAGAACCTGGACGAAGTGAGGTTGCGTGTGCCTAAAATAAGGCTACTCGGTACTCAGTATCATTCATCGGGCATGCGTTTGTGAGTATGTTCACTTGCGACAAATTCGAGAGATTCTGTCGAAGGTTATCATTTCATACCTACTCCACACCACTACTACATTGCCTTTGGCATAAAAACCAAGACTGAAGAATTCTTGTTTTCGACAGAACACAGAATATCTGAAATTGCATCTGCCCAATGTAGCGATACACTATCATGCTGTGGATATGTCAAGCATGACAGATTCCTATGGCATTTTATAGTCACTTCCGGCGCGTACCAGTATTCTCACCTTGGACAGCTTCATATCTTTCCTTGCGATAATTCTGAACCGCAGTTCAGCACGCATCCTCATTCGAAACCCTCCCACACAGTTGCAAGACCGTTTGCAATGACGCAACCACGCCGCATTCACCTCTGGTAGAGTACGAAAACACTTTCTGCCCACACCCCTTCATGTTAGACAGCTGCTAAACCGTCAAAATCCCTCCACCACCACTTCTTTCCAAGACTGGGCGCACAAGACCGATCTAAGTCCAATGGCAGGCCCACCGAGCGTAGAACCTGCATTTCCAACAGAGGCTTTAGCTTTAGAGCATTTCAATGAAAGTACTCTCAGCGAGGCCATACGCTGGATAAACGATCAAAATAGTCAACCTGCAACTGCTACAGCTAATCCAGGCACTGAAAATGCAGCGCACACTCCGACGCCGGCGACTAAAGCAGCGACAACCTTCATCGCCGCGCATACCACGGAGGACACCGATGTGTGCTTGCTAGATGAGTGCCCAATATGTCTGGACAACTACATAGATGACACGTGTGTGCGCATCATCGGTATCCAAGGATGTACTCACCGTATTGGTCTGGCCTGCCTGCGCGAGATGCTCCGTCGCAACCCCAATCAAGAGAAGCGATGCCCACTCTGCCGGACCATATGGATCGCAGAAGCCACGGCACCAAGGAGGCCTACACAACTATATACTGGTATGCCCAGTAGCGGGCTCGATACCCTTCAGGGCTTACAGCTTTACTTAGGCCAAACACTCCATACCCAAGACAGACGTATGGCTAGAGTAATTCCTCCAGATCCCCGGCCCTACAACGGCGCTGAGGAAGTCAGGTCCAGTGCCAGGACTGCTGATGAGGAGCAGGGACAGTCATTGCGGCAGCAGATGGATGCACCACATGACAGTTCCACCCGTGCTCGCGCAGCTGAAATCGCTTTGCAAGAGAATTACGCAGCAGAGGCTCGAAGCTTTGAGAACTTCAATCAAGAGCTTGAAAGCATCCGGCAACGTGCTCACGGCACATCGCTCAGAGGTCGCCGCAGTGGTCGCGGTCGTAGGCCTGACCGTCGTTCTTCCCGCAGTACGGACCCAGCACATGAGCTTGCAGACCCAGCTAATCGGGTTGACGAAGGTCCCACGAGCCGTCTGCTCAATCGCTTACGATCTGGTAGTGGTGATCATGCCTCTGGTCATGAGCCTCTTGCCGAATCAGAAATAATCCGCCCTACTCCGCTTGAGAACCAGCGTACACAGGTCGAGACCCAACGTCTGCGTGCTCCTGTTGCGAATACTCTCCTTGCAGATATAGCCGCTAGGGCAAATTTTCGAACCAACCCAGCGCTACAACGGTCGTTGAGCACTCGTAGCACTCGTAGCACTTCCCCGGCTCATCCGCCGCGTGCCAGTTCACTGCGTGAAACGTCCGCGCAGGTACATTCAACCTCACCGGGTTTGAGCGACTTCGGTATCGCTGCATCGCAGCTACCCACTCCATGCGAAACAGCTTGCACTCTGGCCCAGAACGCGACCGCCTCTGTCCAATCTGCAGCCCCGACCATTATCGGCTTTCCCAGCACACAGCAGCTCAACGCGCGTATTGCTGCCCTGGATGCCCGTGAAGTACGTCTGGCGCGACGAGAAGTCGAACTCGTGCTCCGCGAAGCCGAGTTGACAATTCGAGAAGGAAGGCTCCTACATCCAACTTTTGTCGCTGAGATCCTGGGGAATCAACGTCGCCGCCAGATGGATGTGATGGATCGCTTGTTGGAACAACAAAATGACCTCTTGGAGGCACTGCGACGGGGTCCTGAGTCTTGAAGGCTGTACATCATGAAAGTGGAGAGCGGCCGTTCTGAGACTTTGGTGGCATAAATGGTAGAAACATTCCAGAGGCGTGATTTTGGCAGCGGTAGAATGTCTACTTCTGAAGTGAGATGTTGACGGAACCGGATTGTCTCATTAATTTCCCTTGTTGGCCGACGGAATAAAAGACTAGAATCGCCGTAGGCCATTCGTCCCCACAACTTCTGTAGTGTATGAACTACAAGCCTCATTTTCTCCGTGAGGAACATGGACATGTAATCAAAAATATCACTTGGACAACGACAAAATCGGCGAACATACCTTTGAATTATTGTTGGCGTAGTCTTCTTTTTCCGCGCAAATATTCGAGGGCAAGTCCATCTACCACATCTTCCACGACTTACGCACGTGTACCCAATCTTACACTCTCTCATTCACGCAAACCATGCGTTGTCTTTCTTTCATGCTAAAATCACCATTTCAAGTAACTTTTTAGTTGATCAAGTTCGCCGATCATGGATCTTCGTGTACCTAACGCTGTTGGTGTTGACAAAGTCTGGTCACTTCTCTGATTGGCCGCCTCAAATTTCATCGAAGCAACTTCACTCCCGAAAAGAATGCCACATTTTCAGTATTATTTTCGTTGGTTGAAGATCATCTTAGCAGAATAGAATCCTATGGATCTTGGAAGAATGGATGGAGTCGCGCATTTCATGAAGCAGAGGTGCCTCCTGTCGGCGGAGCCACTCGCTTCACTATTCGAGAAAACCCATAGCGACAAGCAGTGAGGGATTGGAAGCGAAGATCCGAATAAAGGCAAATCCATCACATTTTAGGCGTCTTGGAACGGTAAAGCTAGGGTGCCTCGCAAAGGATGACTTGAGTAGTAAGGGAGCCGAGCTGCCCCAATCCAGGGTTTTTGGGAGGGCGCTGGAAGATCGAAGGGCATACGTCTGATGTGAGATGAAGATCGAAATGCTCAGCGCTGGCCAAGGTACAGTGCCTTGTAAGCGATGCTGACTTAGCTGACGACCTTTCCAGGTATCCTTCTTGTTTACGTTGCATTGATTGCGCAGTTATTATCGGCTGTATACAGAAGCCGAAGTGACTAGGCTAAGCATGCGTGGTCTGGTGATTCATAGAGCTCATCGGGGAACTGCGGGTAACGATACAACCGAACAATATTAAGGCTTTCGAGCCATAGCTGTGGTAAATGTCTTGTCGAGGTGACGTCTCAACGAGTTTCAAAGGCTTGCAAGCAACACCTGGTTCATAACCAGTGAAGCTTGCAAAGAATGTCCTCTTCGTCAATCTTTTTCGCGAACTACTTCACCGCTCTTATCGAAATATTTTGCTTTTTTCATGGCGGCCGAGCCAAGCAATGACTTTTTCGGAAGGCTCGAAAGTGAAACTTGCATTGCACCCAGGCAAAGTCCTACTAAGGGCCTTACGGAGCCTGAACGCAGTGTGAAAAGATTGACCAGAGTTCGGCCTCATCATACAAGCTGTAATGGTTTATCAAATGTTGGCTGAGTAGACAAACATGAGATGACGAGACTGAATTTTTTCTTCCGCTTTGCGTCCTAGCCTGGAGAAAAGTGCCCATTGATAGTAGGTTCTTCTGGCTGAGCGCTAGCCGGGAAGCACTTGAGGCATGAAGGAGATTGAATTGATATTGATGAGAGTTAGTCCGTCCAGTTGGCAGCCCACTGTTGCCTCCAAGCGTCGACAAGTACGATAGTGCTCCTCCTGAGGCCCATGGTTCCCTGATTGGGGGCAATGCAAGACGAAGACACTCAACATCATTGCGGCAGCTTAGCTTGATCCAGCCAGAGCTCCCCGCCGAGATTCCTCCAAGTATAGTCATCGACGTACATACAGTAGTTGTGAGACAAGGAGTAACGTGATGTGAGTAAGTTGTTGATGTTTCCAAGAACGTAAGGGTCATTACGCACTGGTACCCAGAAGCAAAAATGAGCTGACTTGCACAGGGCCACTTTCTGCCACGTTGCACTACGGCACCATGGAACCATCATGATCTGGTACCGATGGTGGAGTATTTCGGCTTGCGCCATGTCCCGCTCGATAAAGACCCTGTTCCGGACTTGTGGGATGCACATAGTCCAGTCCTGGCCTGATGGGTAGTGCGCTCGCTGGCCATGCACTCATCATCTTGACATAATCTTCACTCGGCCGATGCGTCTCTTCGCCCACTCAGCACTGTCACTGTCGGTGACTACACTGTTGCTTGCCTAGGACCGCGACCATTTACATGACGTTATGGAACCTTAGCTGTTCGAGGCACGTACATATGATGATCTGGCGCCCCTGCGACTATGCTGGAACACGCGGGGTAGTCTCGGGTACTCAGCTCAAGAACCATGCATCGTTGGGTCAAGCGACCTGTAGCTGGCCAAGATCGCCCAGGCGTTGGGCATTGGGCAGACATACGTGTCGTGGTGCCTGTATACACATTGCATGCGGACAGTCTGTTTACACGCTGGGGTAGCTAGCGAGGCGAAGTAAGTCGTCACTCCGTCGATTCATGTAGGACCATGCGAGTCCCTTTATGCTGCATCGACCGAATGATATGAAGAGACAAAGTCTGGTATGTGAAAGGTTAATCCTTGATGCTGGAAAGCCCTGCCATGCAAAGATTGAAGGGTTCAGATCGGGAGCCGATTAATGGCCGCTTGCCAGTATCGGGGGGACTATGTTGTATCTTAGCCTCCTCTTCGCAAAAGTCTTCTGGCTGGTCCGTAAAGTGACAAGCGGGGTAATCCAAATCGAGATCCTTGAAAAGCTGTAAAGTGCGTTGCCATTAAGGATTCATTGAAGCTGGCGTATACGGCAAGATGACCACACGATTGGCAGGACGCTAAGTAGGCAAAATGGCATGACGTGATGCCTGACTACCAAAACTATGCTATCTAGACTTGCGGTCTGCTGGAGTAGCGGTAGCAGGTAAGCCGAGGATGCATCAGGTATGAAGGGCTCTCCCTGCCATGATAGAAATGCTCCAGGAAGTTGGCGGAAAGGGCAGCGGCTAGATGAAGTTATCGCGCAAGTATCGGCGTCCTGTAGTGCCGGCCATGCGATTCGGGAAGGACTATACAGTAGGTGATGTGATCGTACATATTCGTATTGTGGAAAATGATCGACACGGAAGGTATTCGCCAGGACGTCCACGACACCGCAAAAGCTCGGCTGCAGTCTGGAAAGTAGCGCTCAGATGGTAGCAGACTTTTTGGAAAAAAGTATCCAGAAAGTAAGTCATGTCGCAAGCATGTTCCAAGTGCATGGTGGCGAAGAGATCGTCTTAAGCAACCGTCGTGGTGCAGAGGGTTCAGAGATTGCCAACGTGGCCGTTGCGTTGTCACCGACAGAATGCACCGGGACCCCAAGCGTGCTGAGACGACCGTGAACTGCCTGTGATCCAGAGAGTTCAGACAAGTGAAGGGCAATTTTGTGAGTGGGCAGATTCGACAAAGCGCAGTGCAGCGGTCGGTGCTACTCGCTGCCCAATGATGGCGTTGGGCTCGACAGGGCGAACAATGAGGCGAGCGGCATCAGTGCATCTCCGCCCAACGAAGGACGACATCGACTCTGCAGCCACTACAATTCACTCTGTTGCAGGCTGATAAGCAACCGGTGTGAAACATCTATAGCAACAGGGGTTCCATACCAACCCGATTCCAAGCCTTGCCCGTAGATTGGTATAAGGTTCCATGCGCCCAAGCTCACATAATTCAGCGTATGCACCAATACCACGACTGGCTCTGATCATCCCTTTCGAAACGTCTACTCTTGCATTGTTGTTGATACTAAATCATGGCGGTCCCGAATTCGTACTTTGTCCCAGGCTATGGCATCTCGAGGGCAGTGATCCAGAATGAGATCCGCTATCACTGCGGACCTGACGCCATAGTGCGACCGTACACTTTTCAGGCAAGTGTGCATGTCAATGGCAAGAGGGAGCTGTCGAGGCTGACAATCTGGATAGGGTCGAGATGGGTTTCTGATTACGACCATTGGTCCTCCCTTGACCAAGGTATGCCACTCGTATGCTGTGATCTCGCTCCGATGCTGATCGAGTAGGCACAAATCGACGACCTGAAGCTCTCGTCGCGCGAGTATGAAGAGAAACAGTCTCGCATCGCCGATGAGCCCAACGTCTTTGTGAACGCACCAATTCCTATCAACCAACGGATAAACATGAGTAAACGTCAAGTACAAGTTTTATTCGTAG